GGCGAGGCCAGGCAGGGCAGGAGGGGCGGAGAGCGCATGCGCGGCGGCGGCGGCGGCCACGGGCAGTCCCGTCTGCTGCCCTCTTGGGGGCGCCTCCCGGGAAGGGCGGGGCTAGAGGGGGCCACGCCCCTTTCCCCAACCCCGGCCAGTTTTGGGCGGGAAAGGCGGGCCCTCAGGAGGGGGAGGGGGAGCTGCATTCTCTCCCTGAGGGAATTTGGGGGAGGCGAGGGGAGAACCCCCCCACCCACACACATACACACCCCTTGGCCCTCAGTGGTCGGCCACTGCTTGTGGCTGGGTTGGGGGGGGAGGGGAAAGGGGGCTCTCCTGCTCGTCGGGGGGTGCCTTGCCAGGGCGCCCTTCCCTTCCCTTCCCTTCCCTTCCCTCTTTTCCTTCCTTCCTTCCCGGCCTGCCTCTTTCTTTAAGCAACTGGTCCCCTTCAGTGCCTGGCTTGGGGAGGGAACTGGTGGGGGGGGAGAAGGAGAGCCCCCCCTCCCTCTTGCGCGCCTTCCCCAGAGAGCTCTCTGGCAGGAGGGTGGCTACTCACGAGGAGGCGCCCTCCGAGGTCAAGGGGTGCCCCCCCAGAGGGGGGGGAGAGGAGAGAGAGAGAGAGAGAGAGGCTCCTCTGAGCAGGAGAGACGGGGCTCTGAGAGCAGCCCAGCCCTCGGGTACTCTTTTTTTTCCCCCTAATTGTTTTTATTTTGAGAAGGGCCCCTCCCCCTGGCAGAGCTTGGACAGGTTGTCCTTGGACGTGCACAGCTTGTAGCGGGTCCTGGTCCTGGACGCGTCCCTCCACCACCACCACCACCCCCCCACACACATGCACACCCCCAGGCTGGACGGCCGGCCTCTCCTGGGGAGGGTGACGGGCCTTCCTTCCACCCACTGAGGTTTTCACACCCTTGGCACACTTTCGCCGCCACCACCCGCCCTGCTCTCTCTCTCTCTTTTTCCGGGCCGGCCCTATTGTTCTCCGGCAGGCCTATCTCTAGGGCCCAACTTGCCGAGAGGAGGCCAAGGCTAAGCAGGCGGGAACTTTCACTTGTTCCATGGAAGAACTTGGCTCCGCTGGGGAGAAGCCGAGCCAAGCGAAGCCAAACCCCACAGAAATGCAGGTGCTGGCAGGGGGACCACCGGGCAGCTAGCAAAACTCGGTAGGATGTCAAGAGCCTACTGTGGCGCACTTTGGTTCGTGGGGAAATTAAAAGAGTTTGTGAGGGGCAGCAGCTCCTCCAGGTCTAGCAGCAGCAGCAATAGCAACAGACACAGACACACACACACACACACCCCAGACCTCCCCGCCTCCAGCGCCCGCTGAGAAATGAGAAATGTATTCGTGATGGCAGTGATGTATACGTGAAACCAAGCCTTGTGGCACCTTTAAAACTAGGAAGCTTTGCTCTAGGGTGAACTTTCCTATCTTGCAGTCCTCCTTTCCAGAGGCATGGAAAAACAACATTCAACCCGTAGGTAAACTATGGTGGCTGAACTTAGGTGGAGCGATCTGGGTGTCAGAGGCCATTCTCTTTGCCACTACTCTGCTGTTCTTTTCTTCCAAGAAGCTAAATATTAAAAGGTGAGGGAAAAGTGGCATCTCTCCTTTCGGACACCTTTCTTGTGGCCGTGGCTGGTGCCTCTGAGCCCTGAAGGAGTGTGGAGGCTTTATCCTGCCTAAAGAAGGCGAACAGATTGCTTCCGCTGCTCCCCACTTCATGGCCCATTTAGCACCTTCTGGAAAAGGGTTCTGGCCTTGATGGTCTTCTGCTTCTGGTCCTTCAGTCTTCAGTTTGCCTTCTGGACGGGGTATTTTAGCACTACAGACAGGGTCCAATGTTTCAGGTGAGCTGTTTGAAGAGCATTTCCTAGTCCTCAGGTCGTAATCTGTTCTCACAATGGCAGGTTCCTCCAGACGCACATTCGACTCCTCAAGAAACCCCCGAGGACATCCAGAACAGCGGAAACCACCCGTCCCTTCAGCTGGCAGGGAACGGTCTGCATTCCTGAAGGACAGCCGCACCGTACTTCTCTCCCTTCAGGTGCAGAAAGGCTGAGCTGATGAGAGACTTACAAGCTACCTGAGACATCTCTCGTCACCTGCCAAGGTGCTGGCACAGGTAACAGCTTCTCTTAGGTGCCCTCTTCACCTGTTGCTGGGTCAGACCAGGAAAGCAGCTTCTCAGCTCCTGAGACGACCTTTACCCTGGCAGGGATTGCCCTCTGCCTTAAAAGGCTGTCATCATGTTTCATATTGCATGTCAAGTGTCTAGCTTTCCACATATCATAAATTGTCCTCATGGGATAGAAAGTCATTTGTGCTCCATAAGAAGGAGTGGTTCTTTTTTCTTCCCTTTTTGGCTTTTGACTATTTTCAGCTTTTTAAGTGCTCATATATGACAAACAGTTTGTGTCATGTCTTTATGCCTCTATAAAATTAAGATAAAGCCTGGCTTTCTAGCAAAAGGCAGTTGGCTCCACCTAATTACCTCCCCACCCTCCTGTGTTTCCTTTTTTTAATGGGGGAATCAAGTTAATCCATCACAGCAGCTGCTGCCTCGGGAACCCTGGCTCTCCCTAGAAGCAAGACGGGGTGTTCTCAGAAAGGAACTTCCTGTTGCTCGGCTGCCTGACCAGGAAGGGAGGAAGGGGGGGGGGAAAGACCATGGAAGTTCTGAGCAGTCCTGAGGAGCCATTGGTCCGGAAGTGACCTATGAGTCACATCTGGATCAGACCATGGCAGGGGAGAGACAGAAAGGGATTTGCATGAAAGAGGATGGGCAGGCGGTGAACGGGTGTCCTAAGAGAGGCCCTGGCAAAATTTTGGGAGGGGGTGGGGCCAGAAGGGAGATTCCCAAAGGGCTGCGAGGCTTCCAAAGAGAGCTTCGCTTAAAAGTTTCAGAGCCTCTGCATTTGGGCAGCTGCTGTCCCTCTGCTGCAGAAGGGGAAAGGATCATTATCCAGGAGTTCAGGCTGGACTCCCCACCCCCGCCCCTGCTGGAGATCCCCTGCTCTTGCCTGGTCCTCTCCCCTCCAGATACGAAGCAGGCTCACCCACTTCTTAGCCTCCTCCCTTTGTTTAAAAACAGCCTGGAGCAATGAGGCTTGAGAGACCTAAATGCAGGAGGGCTTCCCCCTGGGGGTCCAGCCAATACAAGTAGTGGTCTCAATGGCCAGACAGGCGGGATATAACATAAATACTGTAAATAAATAAATACAAGTACAGAGTGAGCGCATACATTAGACAGACCCATACTGGCACCTTTGCCGCATGAGAAACCGAACAAGGATCCTTTGGCAATTAGAATGCACTGATATTTGAAATCCCATAAAAACCAGCAAGAACATCCTCTCTAAACTGGAATTCTGCCTCTAAAGCTGGACAGAGAAGACTAGAATCTAGAATGCTACCTAAATGCAAGATGACAGAAGGGCCATCCACATGCAGGGCTGGCATAAAAATAACAGGCGGGAAGGATTGGAAAAGCCCTCCCTTTTTTTTTAATTGTTAAGCATTCCCAAAGAAAAAAAGGAGTATCAGAGATAACGATTATAGTCAGTGGGTAAGCAAACCTACTCTGTTCCTTTTGTGGAAGTGCCCGTAGAGCGCTCCAGCCACGAAAGGATTCCTCCTGTTAACACATCTTTGTTACTGATATTCTAATAATTCAGCCAAAATAGTAACAGGAAGCGTCTAGGACTGTTTACCTGGTGCCCATTTGACTCGCAAACATATTTGCTGCATTGCACACTTTTAACTTCCTGTGGCACAAATCCAGAGGCTGTGAAGGTGGAAGAGGGAGCAGACGATGGCCACCGTCTCGCAATCTCTTTTTGCAGCGATCACTTTTTTCCAAAGTGGGGAGCCCTCCCTGGGCAGCGCCCGCCATCCTCCTCTTCGCAACCCAACTGTGCCAGGCAAGGCTTCTTCCTTCCGCTGTTCTGTGTCTCTCCCAAGGTAGGACATTCTCTTACCATGACAGCAGTGCCTTTGCTAAAGAAGCCATACCTATAAAAGGGCCTCCGCCGTAAGAATGAGCCTTGCAAAGCGATCAGAGCGAGAAGACAAGAAAAGCAGTGTTATGTTAGAAAGAAGAGGCTTACGAGTTTGGTCCCTTGTTCTTGAACAGCCAGGCAGACCATTTCCCCGGTGGGGACCAACTGGATCCTCAGCTCCATTACCCCGGGGCTGACTCTCAGCATCCCGCCATCCCTGCGCAGCCGACCAGCACCACGCCACACCGGCATTCTCTAGAGCAACAGTGAGAGCAGCGACACACTCGGCACCCTTATGGGCTTCTGGACCGGAAGCCCCGCAGGCCTGTGTTTGTACAAGCCGTGGGTCAGAGCCCAGGCAGCAACAATGGAGTTCAAGCACCCGTTTCCACCTTGTGGCTCGTTGAGTCTCTCAGGACAGTTCCAAGAACGCTCTAATTTATAACTTAGCTCTTTGCTCAAATGTTTCTCCTCAAGGGCCCAAGGGAGCTGGCTGACCTGGAGACGCACTGACCGCCTGCTGGCACTGAGTTTCATACTTGGCTGCTCTGCTCTGAGAAGCGAGGCAGGAAGGACCGTTTTCATCTCAGAAGCTGCCAGCCATCTCTTTTGTCTATATTTCAACACTCTGGGCCTGAAGGGCCTCCTGGCCCCAAACAGGAGCTTGGAAGCCTTTCACTCTCCCTGATGAGCCTTTCCTACCATGAATTATTATAGATTTACTTAGCGAAAAATCTGGGTGCTGCTTTCAAGCAGAAGGCCTCCACGTCAGTGCTTAGCTATTAATTAAGACAACCAAAACAGCAGCATCATTAAGAAAAAGGATCCTGTAGGCACAGCCAGACATTCCTTTAAGTAAGGTATTTCAGCATAGTTTAGCGCTAGACAACTGCCGCGAGCTCTGTGAGCTGCCGTTTCCAAGGGGCAGCCCCATGTAAAGTGCACTCCAGTAGTCTAACAAGAGTGAGGTATGATATGGGGGGGGGCAAGACTTCCCCTGCCCTGGAAAGGGAATGGCCTTGCACCACCAGGCCAAGGTGGGACCGACTTTCCTGGCTGTGGTTGCCATCGCAGGCTCGGAGGGATGACCCTACTGGGTATGGCCTGAAGCACTTTTTATCTTCTCCGAAATAGATTGAGCTGTTTCCGGAATACATTCTTACCCTCCTCATTTCCCCTTTCAGCTATAAACGAGGTGCAGGCTTAGATGTGCCAGGAAAAAGCCTCCGGGCCTCCTCGGCCGAAAGGAAATGCAGAGACACCCAGCAGAGATTTGAAGGAAGGGA